TCGACCGATGTCAGACCACAATTGAAAATCTGGAAGTACTGGTTGACCGTTTCGTCCCAGTGTGAGACTCCTCAGTAGTGCCCATCCACCATCCCACGATCTCATACTACGACGAAACGACCGTCCAGTACTCCTACGTTTTTAATGGTTGCCTAACATTGATCGGTTCATGGTCTCAATAAAAATCCAACAATTCCCAAAACCCTATGCTGATAAATATCAAGAATACTTTGATCAAAAAGCCCCAATGAAAGATTGACTGGCTACTGAGATAATATTTAAGAAATATAAAAAAGGTCACGCCGGTATAAATAATAATTTGAAAGACATGTTTAAATTTACAAATCAGGTGAACATGCCAAACATCGGTCAGTAAAATATAGAATTATTAGACCACGACATGGAATATAGTAAGGTGAAGTTGTTAGACAATAAATTTAACTGTGGAGTATGACACTAAAACAAGCACTTCCATACAATTATGGATAAAACACTCGAGTAATCTTGTTTCTTAAAGCAAATAGTTTTCTGTTACTCATCATACTTTATGTCACGTAAAGCAAGACATTTGACATTAGTGAAAGATTTTCATTTCTCAAGTTACGTTCAACAAAATCATCAGTTCAATCTAGCAGAATGAAACAGAACAACGCAAGGTCTCTCTAAATTAACTAGTAACATGAATTAACTTTATGACATGTCGAATCAGTGCACATTCAGATCAGAATAATTAACACGACTATAAAATAATCATTTAGCATATCATTATAATCTGTCTTTCAAGCCTTAAAATTTATTTTACCGTATTTCACTGTGCAAAAGTTACTTAGTCTTATTTTAAGGATTATTTACATCATGGAAGACGACTCACTGAAGAATCATTCAAAAGTAGGAAACACCACAAGGTTGTCTCATTGCAATTAAGGTGTACTTTAAATAGTGAATATTATCAACCTTATAAATTTTTAACTCATTAGTGACTATAATATCATTCAGCTAGCAATTAAAGCAAGTCAATTGTATATATTTATATATATATATATATATATATATATATATATATATATATATATGATGGATGATAAAAAGAGTTCCAAGAAGTGAACATTCCTATGATATCAATTATTTATTGAATTATAAACAATGTGTCTTGCAGAATCCTTAGTATTAGTCTAACTTTATCGATCAGATGCCCAGTTATTCACACTTTTAAGTCGAAAATACTGTAAATGACGATCAATGTTAGGTAGTTGAAGGTTATTGTTGATAAGATTTAAGTCTATTTTATATGCTAATCAGTACTCCTTAGTAAATCTAATGTGCGGTCTTTGAGAAACTGATGTTCACCCCCAAAGATTTTAATTTTCAACCCCAATTATTCGGTTATTAAACTACGTAATAGGCATTAGCCATATGAGGAAGAGAAAAAAATGTTTTCGAGGGGATGAGTACCACTAACTTATTGTATATTTTAGTATTCATCATTGTGCAAGAAATAAATATTTGTAAACAATTTTCGGGGCATGCTTTTATGATACGTAAAGTCATTAAATATGCGTTTAAAAGAATAAAATGGTGGATCATTTTCACACGGATGAATACACAATTAGGCGGAATTATTGTTAATGTGTAGATTCTAAAAAAGAATCTAAAACGATATACTGATCGATTTCGTACGTAAATCCATAAATGATACGAAACTGATGCTCAACTTCAGTAAATAAAATCTTATTGTGAGACATAAACGTTTCAGATTTCTTAGTGTATGAACAGAAGGTTAGCTTCACGATAGGTTCATAAATTTCTTCTGAAAAACAATGACAGGTGGATTTCAATTGTGTTGGAACAGTGGTGCAGTTAAGATAATTGTAGGACTATGTGGAGAACAAACTGAACCTAATAATGTAGACTACCGGATATTAACAAAATAGTTCAAAATTATCATACCCTTCATGATACTTAGATGTCTTGAATTCGACCGCTTGTGGCTTTATGGTCATATAATTCTGAGATGATTTAAATTAGAATGAAAACAGCCGTCCAATACTCACAGGTTTTTATTGATGTCAGACAGTAATGAAAACATTATCTTTAATAAAACCGTAACTATTTGATTCCTTAATGACACTATGCTGATTATAATGAAGAATTTGACGATTGAACATTTTTTCAGACAAAAGTACAGAAGAGATACATACACTTCTCGTCTATCAATTAGTACGTCTAACTAGTTTGTTTAGACATAATAATGATAATAATAAACATAGAAGTTCAATAATATAAAACATCAATCAAAATAAAATCAGCCTTGATTTTCATTTTAAAAATTATTATGGATAATACTTTGTTGATGTTTTTCTAAAAAAAATCAATCTACTTTCTGCCTAAATGTAAAAAAAGATTAGAAAAATACTCCAGGTATTTCCTGGAGTTCTAGTGAGAAGCAGTGACCAGTGGAGTTCAACCGGGTTTGTTGTGAGATAGTAACAATGGTGTATGTGTCGCTCAACTTCGTGGATTAGTTGAAGTTAGACATTAACACTGTCGGATGCCGGCTCAGTTGTCTAGAGGTTAAGCGTTAGCGCGAGAGACCGACAGGTCTTGGGTTCGAATCTCGTGAGGCGGGATCGTGGATGTGCACTGTTGAGGAGTCCCATAATAAGACGAAACGGTCGTCCAGTGCTTCCAGGTTTCCCATGGTGATCTAGCTTCAATTGACTCAGTCTCAACTATTAAATGAATGTTTGTTAAAAAATCAAACATTTTATTTTACATCCATTTATTAAATGGATCTGTATTTTTTTGAATGTGAAGTGTATCCTAGATAAAAAAGAATTTATGTAAGTTTATTATTGGTTTCGAGTATCATAAGTCTAAATAATTTATTTCGAAATGGAACCATAAATGGGACTGTTTACTGAATCTATTTAAAGTAGCTTGGACTTTCGCATTATTATTATCGAAGTACAATGTTCAACGCAAGTGTAAACTCTAGAAAGCGGATAACTCTGAAAAGCTATTTCCCCTTTTATAACGTTATTTATGACTCATCATCACTATACGCCTACAGTTTTATTTTACGAAGTAAATTTACATTTTCTTTTCGGTTTATTGCTTTACTGTATTTGTCCAATAGTTTCAACACTTGGTGCCTTATGTTAATTGATTAGACACAATTAAAAGCGTGTACTTGATCAATGGAAAAATCGAAATGTTGCAGAAAAAATTAATCGCGTTAACTAGAAACACAATCACTTTTGTTTAAAATGTCAATGAAAACCTACGATCTTTGCAAACTGTATATTCGATTTTTAAGCAAGTCTAGACATTTTTTAAACCTAAAAGTGAAATCATTTTAAATTGTCATTTAAAGGTATTTTGTTAAAGCACGTTGTTAAGAGATATTCAAATGCTATCAAGTTGCACTGTGGCAACTAGTCTTAGTGACTTGACATTGTGTGCACTGTGTTTTGATGTTAAGTGGTTGGACGAAGTCCTTGAGAAAACTACCAATTCTCAGTAACCAACTAATGTAGAAATCTCAGTCCTATGAGAAGTCACTCACAACTACAAAAGCCCAGTGGTAACATCTCATAGTGTGAAACTGAGTAGCCAGGGTTACAAGCCACCAAGAAATATCAGTTTCCTCACGACTGCCGGCAAGCCCTTTTGATGAATATCTAAGTTCAGGGTGTTCTGACAATTACCTCCGAAATCTATTTACAAAATGACATTGGATATTTTCGTTTCGTCACTATTTTACACACACACACACAAATATACATACATATTATCATAGACCAAATATTTTGTCTAATACCTCAAGTTCTGCACACTGTTGATAACCCGTAACTCCAAGATGATTTTTCATTATTAATCTTCAGTTTATCAATATCATGCCAGTGTTCTATGGGTTTCGTTGTACTGAAAACTAGTTGACTATCTATTGACTATTTATTGTCTATTCCAGTTAAGGCTTTCAGAAGCTAAATGTACTTCAGTGCTCGTCGATCAATTAGTCGAGGCATCTCAGTGTTTTTTTCGCCGACTTTATCTATGTTACGAAGTATTTTCATGACAAAATCTCACTAGTAAATATAGTCCTTAAAATCCATATTTCGTCTGCCAACGACGATGACTAACAATTTCAAATACACCAGATAAACAGGGCTGTCAAGGAAAACGTCTTAATCAGATTGCTTCTAATTGAAAAATATACTGAGCATACAAATTTGAGTTGCATCCACAAGACATAAAGATCTTGGAAACTAAGAGCTTGTTTTTTAATCTTCCTACTTAACTTGGTCGACTAGAATTAAACAAATAGTTCAAAAAGACTAGTTACAATTACAACCACAGAATCAAAAGAGCAGAACGGTCGTAATATAATGTTATATATAACCAATAGATAAGGCCTATATGAAAGCCACAGTGGTCACTACTCTGGGATCAGTTAGTGTAAACATTTTGATCTTTTTACGATATTAGTCTTGGCCTGAATATCTCAGTGGACACCTCTCTGCCTATGATACGGAACTGAATCATACGAGGACAATCAGTTCCGCCGAGATCGTAGATTATTTTTTGTTGACAAGTCCTGGGTTGTAATAAGAGAGATATTGAAAATCATACAAGGAAATTCGTAATAAAAGATACTACTTGTGGACAGTTTTTTCTGCTATCAGGCAGCGTTTGCTTCTGCACAGATAAAGCAAATCTAATAAACAGAAATGACGCAAAATCGTATTCATACAGCGTACATTTCTGATTGACTTGATGGATAAATTTTTATTGAGAACAAATGACTTGACTGGGAAAATACACTTCTTTAAAAATCAGTATTAATTAATTGAAAAAGATTGTAGTTATTTAGAAATATTTTGGTTCTGAAGCTAAAGAAAACCACCAAATAACATAATTTCGTATTTACAGATATAAAAAATCAACCATAGATTCGTAGTGATTTTTTGTTCTTTATAGAAAGAATTATTGCTTTTCAATTAACGTCCTCGAATTCGCCTTTGTTGAGCCTCTTCATTGGCCTGTTAAATAAACATAGAATTGATGAGTTTACATCGAACTGTAATAAGTTTTCTGATAATTATTTTGAACTTGTGTATTATTATTGTTAACACTCATGTACAATAAAAATTTATTACATAGGCTCGCAAACCAAATGAAAAGTTTCAAGATAACTAAAGTAGTTAATTATCTGTAACGTAGATAACATACTACCATTATTATATAATCGCCTTAATGGCAAGTATGTTGTGACTTTAAAAATCATAAACTTGAAAATTATATCTTTACAACATTGAACATGATAAGTGAAGCGAAATTCTATGTGCCCTGTCCTATATAGTCTATAGAAATATTCAAATCACAGAGATGTTCCTTAATTTTTAATCAATGACGCAACAGTGAAATCAACACTAATTTACTTGTAAAAAAGTATAATCATTTGTTATTAAACATTAGTGAATAATTTTAACTTCCAAACATAAAAAACATTTTCAGCTCAGGCGAGGGCCCATAAATATTATATTAAACCTCTCTGACAATTATACATGGCAATGACGTTGATTGTATACAACTTGTGGAAATGAAGATTCATAATGTACTATTTGGAATCCTCCTAATTCACATCAAGTACGGTTTTGACTGGAGCCCCAGCTAGTAAGGAGTTGAAAAAGATGAACTTGACTTCTAAGTTATTTATTTTTATTTATTCTAACACATAGATATTGGTACAAGGAGGCACCAAATACATATGCGCCACACAAATCTCATTTGATATGTGTGAGGGCTGTGATACTGCCCGGGTGCCCAAACCGAAACAGATGGTTTTCTTAGGGGGCCACACCCCGAGCCTTCGACATGAACGTCTGATCCACAAGGCAGTGGAGCAACGCAAGGAGATGCAGTCTCATGGTAGCCGGTGACCAACGATTGGTTCATATGCCATTTGTTCCTTTAAGATACTGGAGCCCATGTGCACCATTGGTTTGGAATCAGGGTTTTTCAACTTCCCTAGGTGGACTCTCCATGTCCACCAACCCGGTTAAAGCGCCGGACATTAGCTTTTCGTCCTCTCAATTTCGTAAACAACACCCCCGTCACGAGCAGGCAGTGAGTAAGACTTCCCTGGCAGAGGCTATATACGCGTGTCCATGTGAGAGCATTTCAAGAGGGAGAGCGGACTCTGACCACTCTCGGCCGTACCAGGGCATTTGGGGGCGACTCTTAAGTAGTTAATGATAAGTAGTACCCTTAAGATCATTTATTTAATTCTCTAAGGAAAAAATATTAAATTAAATATCCATTAATAGACTTTTAACAGTAAAATAAACTGCCCATCTAAAAAATGGTATATGACTGCGTAAATCTATTTACCTCATCAACCAAACGGCGTTTTATGATGCCACGTCGAATCATTTCTTGTTCAATGACACGAGCATTGGCTGCATACGAATCTGCTATTTCTTTTGCTTCGGCTTCCTCTTCTTCATCTTCAATAGTAGAAACAGTGACAGCGGTATCAATGCCTTGAGTAGTTTCTTGTTGTTGAACACTTCGACGCAATGGGGCGTTATTCGAGGCTTCGCTTTGCTGTAGGGCAGCCGCCTCAGCAGCTAATGCTTCGAGTAATCTGGCATTAGCAGAGCTCTCATCAATATGCTTCGCAGCAGTTGGTCGTTTCGGACATAACATAGATGCAGATAATGCAGCTTGGTCATCTTGAAGTTTTAATGCATTCTTTATAATAAATTCAGTCTAGTTAAATGAAAAAAACGTATACCACGTGATTAGACGTAATAATAAGACAGTGGATGATTGAGTTTTCTTTATTTGAATAGTAACACGATAAATGCAAGTATCATTTAGTAGTATAAAGGGTTACCTAGCAACCTTTGGATTAGGACGTTTCAGACCACTTCACCCACTTGAAATTCGAAGTCAGGTAGAATTTCCCATCATCACATGTAAGTGTACGTATTATCAAAGGGGAAAGTAATTTTAGAATCGACGGATTGATAAAAAATCAGCTACTTATCATACCCATAGATCATAAAGTATTTAATACCACGAGTAATACCTGCTAGCATGTTTTTATGTCAAATATCCATAAATTATAATGTAAACATGATTGACAGTAAAGTGAATTATTAATTATATACGTTAAGGTGAAGTGGTTTTAATAACAATGAAAAATAACACATTAACTCATAAAACAAATTACATCTCAATGTGAGTTGAATGACGGGTTTAAAACTACAAAAACACGATTTTCCGGATTCGGGGAAAGGTCTTGATCATGATATGTAAAAGCTGCCCATATTATCACTTTCCTATCAATGTAACTCGATAAGTGGTTACAGATTCGTGTGTCCGGAGCTGAGTTGTATGTAGATATGTGTAATTTATTAGTGATCTCATGCTACAAACATAAGAATGTCTTAACCCTTTAGATAATGAATGCAGTTAGCAATTAAAGATTTTTCTTAAGTTTTGTTAACTGGGAGTATATCTTTAAAAACATAACGGAAAGCAAGTGTATTAGCATCTGACTTGTCAGGTTCGCCTGTTAGTTTTTCACTTCCTTACAATCACTGAGCACTTTGATGACAAATATATTTGAGATTTATGGCACAAGGTACTTAACTACGTTTATTCACTTCAGTATTGATCTATAAGGAAAATCTGATTTCAAAACCTTAGAAGGCATCTGGGTTTTTCTTGGTGGTTAGCTACCACTCCGATAAAGCAATGTAGTTTATGAAGGGTTTATGCAAGACTTTGATACATAATTTTTATCCATGATAGACTTTAGATTTATTATAAGGCAGAGTCAGCTCTCTTTGGAAATGCTCTCACATAACCACGTACATAGAACCACTGTCAAGGAAGTCCTACTCACTGCCTTCTCAAGACGTTACTATTGTTTATGAAATTGAGAAGACGAAAAATGAGTGTCTGGCGCTTGAACCGGGTTGGTTGATACGGAGGATCCACTAGAGTCAGTCAGTCAGTTATAATGTAAGACCAGGCACATGTATGCATCGGTCTAAGTTGCCATACCTCATTAACACAACAAGATGGACACCGGATTCATAAAAGTAGTTAATTCAGTGGTGGTAATATATAAAAGAAAGGTTGCATATAAGGACATAGTACGGGAAGAAAGAAATAGTTCGTAGAAAGAAAGATATAAAGCGATTTTAATCTCTTAGTTTAAAGGAAGACAGAGAGTGCATACACCGACGCCATTGTGATCCATTCTGAGCCATGTCACCAAGAGTCTCCAACCATTGGTTACGGTAGTCACGCGGACCCCAACCAACTAGTCTGCATCTACCAACATGGCTCAGACTAGAAGTTAGTGTCTTCAAGCACTGATGCCACGTTTTGGTTTGGCCGCCCCTAACTTTCTTCCAACCATCCCGAACACCGGTTAGCATTGCATGTCGTGATAATCGGTGTTCAGGCATACGTAACACGTGGCCCAACCATCTCAGTCGATGAAGATTCACAACCTCATCAACTGATTTACCATCATTCCCTAATACCCTGCGCCTAACCTCACTATTACTTACCCGGTGGTCCCAGCAGACGCCAGCAATATTTCTGAGGCATCTGTGGTCAAATACTAGTAGCTTACGAGTGTCTTCTACTCTTAAGGGCCTTGTTTCGCTGTCGTAAATTAAAACAGAACGGACTGCCGCGCACTATACTCGTCCTTTTATTGATAGACGGATATCTCGCCTCCGCCATAGGTGACGTAAGAAGGCAAAAGCCAGACGAGCTTTTCGAACCCGTGCTGAGATTTCGTCAGACACCAACCCATTAGGGCTGATCAGACTTCCAAGATAAGTGAAGTTGTCAACGCATTCGACTACTTCACTCCCTATCCTTAGTTCAGGTGTTGACGCATACCAGTCGTGAAGCGACAACTTGCATTTAGAGGGAGAGAAGCGCATTCCAAACATTCTGGCATTGTTGCTCAGTGCTACCAAAAGACTCTGCATTTTGTCAGCGTCCTCACCAGACAGGACTATATCATCTGCGTATTCCAAGTCGATAAGTGGACCTCCTGGAAGGAGATCAATACCCGAGAATTCAGTCGACGAGAATTTTATTCCATCAGTAGGTCTATGATGAAGTTAAATAAAAACGGAGAAAGTGGACAGCCTTGACGACAATCTTGTACCGACCCTCTCCAACGAGGACTGATGGCAATATGGTCTATTTGAGTCCATCGTTGATTTGGTGTAGGGGGTCGCCATGTTAGACGATGTCTCTCCTTATGCTTAAAATTTGTGTTTGCTAAAAATAAACGATTGTCTGAGCATAGTTGCAGCAGACGATCACCATTATCTGTTCGTTAAGCCGGAATAAAAAAATACCCACCTAAATGCCTTTCTGTTTGGTTTAAACTACCTATTTGAGCATTAAAGTCACCCCCTACGAGTACTATGTCTGAACGTTTAGCTTTCTGAAAAATTCATTTTTCACTTCATCTGAGCTGCAGTCAGGGAGCGTAGGCAGAAACGACAAAAAGGCAACGACGTGTATCCCTATCCTTCCGAGTTCTTACGGAGCCGTTTAGTCGAACAACACATAAACGACTGTTAACGGGGATCCACTCTAACCGTGCTTGTTCCGCCCTCATACTTAGTGCTATCCCTACTCCTGCCAGTCCACGAGAGTTGGCCGTCAGGTCACCAGATACACGGAGGGTGTATCTCGTTGGCTCTCCGTTTTGCCGAGGTGAGGTCAAGTGAATGACCACACTAGGATCTTGTATGCGTGTTTCGGAGAAACAGCATACATCAATGTCACGAGATTTTAGGGTTCTAGCTAAGGAAGCCTGTTGACCGATTTGACATACGTTGATGGCTCGAATGTGTAGTGTGGAGTGAGGTTTCAGTAGACCTGGGACAGTGTTTTGAGCACTAGAATCGTTGACTATGATGACACTTGAGGAGGAAGCCGAAAAAGGAAGTTTAGAGGTGAAAATCGATGTAGGGGGAATAATAGAAAGTGAAGAGGGAGGTTGATTATGAATACAGTGGTCTTGAGTGCTGTTAGAGGTATGAGGGCGGTTATCACTCCCCGGTTGCCCACACCGTGGAAGGGTTCTTCTGGAGGTACCTGAAAAGGAAACTGGATTAGAGGTGGTCTTAGTGACCTGGGAGCGTGACCGCAGTGCCCAAGGGACAACTGCTTGAGGTCGGTCACACACGACCTTTTTATGGGTAATTTTTGTGTTAGCTCCATACTTATTGAGACCTTACCGCCGGAGACGGATATCCGTGGAATAAGGCGAGGTGTGCATTTTTAGAGTCGACCTTTTCTAACCCTACCTCTCCTTGTGGGAAGGCAGCATCACTGTCATGCTGGTTGTCTGAAGGAAACACCTTACTGCTGTCACACCTCTGTACAGTCAGCAGTACGACTTCGCCTTCGGACCTTGGGTTTGTTGCTTTTAGTCTTACCGCTCTTCAACCGACCTCTGGCATGGCAGGACCTTTGAGAACGATTGCTCCAGCCAGTACAGCTCGATTGCTTCATCACGATAGGCAAGCCCGACCACCACGTCAAGGTAGTAACGACAGTCGGGGGATCCACCTAGAGGAGTTGGAAAACCCTGATTCCAAACCAATGGTGTACATGGTCTCCATGATCCTAAGGAAACAAATAGCACATTAACCTATTGTTAGTTACTGGCTACCATGAGACTCCATTTTCATACGTTGCTCCACCGCCTTGTGGATTAAACCTTCAGGTCAAACACTCAGGGATTAGCCTCCTAAGAAAACCACCTGTTTCGGCTTGGGCACCCGGGCAGTATCCCAGTCCTCACATAAATCGAATGATTTATGTGGCGCATATCTATTTGGCGCCTCCTTGTACCAATGTACAAGCGTTTAAATAAATAAATACTGTGGGACCTATATGGACTGGGCATCAACGATCCTGTACGTGGAAACCCTTGGAGTTCTAGTGAGAAGCCGTGATCAGTGGAGTTAAACTGTGTCGCGTGAGACAGTTGGTCACCGAAGACAGTGGAAGATCATCGTGGAGTGTTGTGGGTTGATTGAAGTTATACATCAACACCGTTGGATGCCCACTTAGTGGTCTAGAGGTCGAAGGTCCTGGGTTCGATCCCCACGTGTGGAATCGTTAGCGCACACCTCTAAGGAGTCCCACACAAGGCCCCCTGAATGCCCTGGTACGGCCGAGAGTGGGGAGAGTCCGCTCTCCCTCTCGAAATACTCTCACACGGCCACGCGTATACAGCCTCTGCCAGGGAAGTCCTACTCATTGCCTTCTCGTGGCGGGGGTGTTGTTTACGAAAATGAGAGGACGAAAAGCGAATGTCCGGCGCTTTAACCGGATTCCAAACCAATGGTGCACATGGGCTCCAGTATCCTGCGGGAACGAATGGCGTATGAACCAATCGTTGGTCACCGGCTACCATGGGACTGCATCTCCTTACGATGCTCCACTGCCTTGTGGGTTAGACCTTTAGGTCAAAGGCTCGGGGAGTGGCCCCCTAAGATAACCACCTGCTTCGGTTTGGGCACCCGGGCAGTATCACAGCCCACACACAAATGATGAACTCTTTATGTCTATGGAAATTACTTTTGTCGCTTTGAAAAACAAACAATTGATTCAAATTATTATCATTACAATTATTGTCATTATTAATACTAATATTATTATTACTACTATTATTGTCATTATTGTTATTATTATCATTATTATTATTATTTTCCACATTATTCACCCTCTTTTATACTTATACAGCGGCTCGTCTTTGGTGGAATTCCGACTGTATCTAAACGTTCTCGAGTCACTGTCCGGTTGAAAATTGTATGTTACCACCGAATACGAGGACTGAAGCAGATTTTCTGAAACCACGTGCACCATTCAAACTGGCTGCCTTCAACGTTCGCACATTTATGCAGGTCGGACAACAGATAGGGCTGGCTATGTCTTTGGAAAGTCTTAATATCGACGTGTGTTGTCTATCCGAGACCCGTATTCAAGACTCTGGCGAAGTACTACAAATTCGATCTCCATCTGTCGCTTCGAAAAGCTTGTTTTACGTGCGCTTATCCGGGGACCCTGTGGCATCTTCGTCTGGTCTTGCTGGCGTTGGTGTCGCACTAAGCGCTAGAGCTGAGGCAGCACTAGTCGATTGGATCCCCATTAACAGTCGGTTATGTGCTGTTAGATTAGAAAGTTCCATCAAAGTGAGAAGAAATCGGCGTGAGAAACGATGTCTTTTCGTCATCTCCGCCTATGCCCCGACAGATTGCAGCCCGGATGCAATCAAGGATGAGTTTTACCACCAGTTATCAGTTCTTCTCCAGAAAGTGCGTTCGACAGATATTGTAGTACTAGCCGGAGACTTGAATGCTCAGGTCGGGCGTCTAGGCACAGAAGAGAGTCGTTTAGGTGGCCGATGGGGACTCGTTGGTCGCAGGTCAGATAACGGGGACCGTCTACTGCAACTTTGCACAGACCACAACCTGTTTCTGGCTAGCACTAACTTTCGGCACAGTCATCGCCGATGTGCCACCTGGCGTCCTCCCTCTGCATCTCAAGCCTGGACTCAGATTGATCACATCGCGATCAGCTACCGCTGGCGTGGTTGTGTACAAGACTGCCGCTCCTTTTGGAGTACCTATCTGGACTCTGACCATGCCTTGGTCTGCGCCAATCTTGCCTTACTTTTCAGTGGACAACGAAGTGAACGCCATCAACGGATTGATGTTAGCAAGCTGGTTGCAACTTCTGTTGCAAGTAAGTATCGAACCGAGCTAGCCTCTAGGCTAGCTACCACTCCACCGAAAAGTATAGATGAGCATTGGTTGCAATTGCATGACGCCATGAAAATGGCGGGAACAGTCAGTTGTGGGTTTGCGAAACGTCCCGCTTTTAAGCACTGGGTTTCTTCTGGTTCCTTACAACTCATTGAAGCCCGTCGGTCTACTCCGGGTGACCGTGAGTTTGACCATAAACGAAGGATGTTACGTAAGGAAATCGGGCAAAGCTTGCGTAAGGACCGAGAAGCCTGGTGGTCGATGCGTGCTAATGAGCTGGAAGCAGCAGCTGCATCTGGTAACTACCGGAAGCTCTTCCAACTCATCCGAGCCACTGGCAGCAAGAAGTCTGGTGTGAGTGAAACAATCTGCGAGGATGATGGGATGCCAATCACTAACATCCATCGACGTCTTGGACGATGGGCAGAATTTTTCGAAGGGCAGTTCAACTGGCCTGCTGCTCCGGCAACATCGGTCAGACTGTCCTGCCCTCCATGGCCGGTGACGACTGATCCACCAAATGAGGAGGAAGTCCGCAAGGAACTCCAACTCTTGAAGCGTTACAAATCACCTGGCCCAGATGACTTACCTCCGGCTCTTTTTAAAGATGGTGGTGACTTTTTGACTAAGGAATTGACGACGTTGTTTACAAAGGTTTGGGAACTAGAGAGTGTACCAACGTCATGGAATGAGTCGATAGTTGTCCCTATCTTTAAAAAGGGTTCACGTCGTTCTTGTAACAACTATCGGGGGATAAGTTTACTTCCGATTGCGTCCAAGCTATTGGCTTCCGTCATTCTTCGTAGGTTGTTCAAAACCCGAGAAAGATTGACTCGCGAGGAGCAGGCTGGGTTTCGTTCTGGTCGAGGATGTATTGATCATATCTTCACCCTCCGCCAAATGTTAGAACACCGCCATACTTTTCAAAGGCCAACAATCGTAGTGTTTCTTGACATCAGGGCTGCCTTCGATTCGTTGGATAGGACTGTTCTCTGGGATTGTCTATTGAAGAAGGGTGTGCCTGAGAAGTTTATTAACATCCTAAAAGCCCTGTATAAAAACACCTCAGGCAGAGTGAGGGCATACAACCACCTCTCTCCATTGTTCCATTCGAGCAGTGGGGTTAGGCAGGGTTGCCCAATCTCACCATTCCTCTTCAACTTTGCCATCGATGACATTCTGGAAACAGCTCTGATGAATGTAAGTAATGGTGGTGTGGATCTGTTGCCTGGAGAAAGACTTCTCGACCTTGAGTATGCGGACGATATTGTCTTACTGTGCGATAATGCCCAAGGCATGCAATCCGCACTTAATCAGTTGGCAATCAGTGTCCGTAGGTATGGTATGTGCTTTGCACCTTCGAAGTGCAAAGTACTTCTACAAGACTGGCAGGATTCTAATCCTGTACTCACCCTGGACGGTGAGCAGATAGACGTAGTTGAGAAGTTCGTGTATCTGGGTAGCTGCATAAGTGCTGGTGGGGGTGTGAGTGATGAGATCAATGCACGAATAGTGAAAGCCAGAGCGGCTTATGCCAATCTGGGCCACCTTTGGCGCCTTCGTGATGTTAGTCTGGCTGTAAAAGGCCGGATCTACAACGCGTCGGTGAGAGCAGTTTTGCTCTATGCTTGTGAAACCTGGCCTCTCCGAGTTGAGGACGTTAGACGACTCTCTGTGTTCGATCATCGCTGTCTCCGAAGGATTGCTGACATTCAGTGGCAACACCATGTCAGTAATGCAGAGGTTCGGCATCGTGTGTTCGGGCACAGAGATGATAACTCAATTGGTGTCACCATCTTGAAACACCGACTTCGGTGGCTTGGACATGTTCTCCGAATGTCGTCCCAGAGAATTCCACGTCGTGCATTATTTGCCGACTCTGGGACTGGTTGGAAGAAGCGGAGAGGTGGTCAGTGCATGACATGGTGTCGTGGCATGAAAGAAAGCTGCAAAGGACTGGCTTGTGTTGGTCCTTCACGACTCCCTGGCTGGGGTCCGAGAGATGGTGCTACACAGTGGCTAGAGACGTTATCAGATATGGCTCAGAATAGAAGCCAGTGGCGATCCTGCTGTAACCTTCTTTTACTTTCTTCATAAAAAGTGGTTGTGTCTCCTTTACCTGAAAGATTTCTTCTGATTGTACCTTATCGTCATTACTCTCTTTTTCTTTTGCGTTCCTTAGTTTTTTTTTTTTCTTCTTCTCTTCGAATTCCCATTGTTTTGTGTGGCGCATATATATTGGCGCTCTCTTGTACCAATATTTATGTGTTCAAATAAATAAATAAATAAAAACGAAACAGTTCCCTGATGATTTCAAGTTTTCAATAGTAGTTTATCTAGCTAAGATAAATTCCTAATTTGAACCGTGAGAATATTTTATATTTATCGAAAATTACCGTTGAATTTTCTGCACTGTGACGATAAAAGATTGGTAATCCACAGCTTTTGCAATACCTGCGGAACTGCTTCTCTATTCCATTTGGCCAACGTATATAAATTGGAGTGAGTGGATTAACAGCCGTAGCTGTTGTTTTATGAGCACGTTTGGATCCATCAATAACTCTAGCGTCATCTCTAGGACGCCTTGGTAGTTTCTCAACTAGACAGTCAATTATCAGTGACATTTGACCACAGATACATGAATAGACAAACAGTGGTTTCTCACTTCCGTAATTATGCCGTGGCCTCGAATCAGTTACAATATGTGTTGCTCGTTTGCGAACGCGTGGCTTATGATCTTTGCTCATATTTCAATTCGGAAATGATCTGGAAAAAATAAGTAAGTCTTACCACAATTAAAAAGCGGAAAATTCACCAAAACGTTCATCTTAAAAACATTCAGTATAAACGAATATCAAACCAAATAGAGTCTGAGAAATGAGTTAAGTATATTAACCCCCTGAAAATCTATTTTATTCTCCTCCTTCATTGCTAGACTACTAATTAAAACAATGCCTGACTTTATGTATATAGGCGCAAATATCGAGAGGTTTCTTTGAGAAAAGTACGCACCTGTCAAGACGCCGGCTAAGCTTGACTTTTAAGTGATTATGAAGTAATTAATTAACCACGAGTCTGAATCACTGAGCATGTATTAGATAAGTTTAGAAACTGCTTTGTTAAGCAGCTATTCTTTGGGGACTAACATTAACACCGAAGTAACTGGAATGTGTCTGGAAACTCATTTGTGGCTAATAAAGTGACGCATCAACTGCTAGCACTATTCACTGATGCAGGTTGGTATTAAAAAATACGGCTGATACAAACAAGTGTCCACTACCTGATATTCCCGAATCAGACGAAATCAGAAAGTCCTTAGACAGAACAAACAAAAGTATTTTGTTTAGTTAAACCATTATCTAACCTAATTATTTTAATACAGCTCGACGAATTACATGGGAAAAATTCCTTTTTCCGGGTTATATGATATGTTCAGCTCGCAGCTCTAACAACAACAGGCAAACAAAAAAGGGGAATAATGGCGAACTTTGGGGAAAATCCTTACGATAAGTCGGTGTGAATATATGCAACAATGAATCAAATTACCACTTTTCCGCAGCCCGGAGTAAATGATGCTGATTTTCTCCAAAATTACCCCACTGACATGTCTCGTAACTAACACTTTTACCTTTCTCAAAACTAACACCAATTTGTTCATTCTTATCAAGAATAAACACGTTAAACGGTCAACATTTTGCAAAACTCAACAAATCACTTTTGTACCGTCCATATACTTCGTGAACTCCCTTTTAATTCCCAAGAGCAACCGAACTATCTGCGCACCCAACATAAAAAACAGTGGTTTATATGAAGACGATTCATCAACAAATTCTACACAAAGTTGTCGATAATATTAAAATATTACGTGCGTGACCGGTCACAAGCAGTTGTTGGACACTCTGGTCACACTCCCAGGTCACTAAGCCCATCACTAACTCAGCCTTGTTTTCAGGTCTCAAGAAGAAATACCCTTCCACGGTACCCGATCGAAGCTGCTACCTTGACGCGGTGGTCGGGCTTGCCTATCGTGATGACCCAACCGAGCTATATTGGCTGGAACATATGTTCCTGTAAGTTCTACCATGCCAGGCAGGTCGATTGGTGAACGGTAAGACTAAAAGCAGCAACTCAAGGTCTGAGGGCGAAGTCGTACTGCTGACTGTAGAGGGGTGTGACAGCAGTAAGGTGTTTCCCTCGGACAACCAGCATCTGCAACGATGCTGCCTTCCCACAAGGAGGGGTGGGTTAGAAAAGGTCGACCCTAAACACGTCACACCTCACCTTACCTCACGGATTTCCGTCTCCGGCGGTAAGGCCCTTTGAAGAACGGAGCTAACACATCAAAAACCTTCCACAAAAAGGATGCAGTAATAGTGGCCGGTGACTTTAATGCTCAAGTAGGTAAACTTAGCGATAGGGAAAGACACCTAGGTGGATCTTATGGTGTCGTGGCTCAAAGAACAGATAATGGCGAACGTCTGTTGCAGCTATGCTCAGATAACCGCCTGTTCCTTGCAATCTCAGAGAAAGATGGACATATTATACATTCTCAATCCAGGAGATTGGATCGATGGGCAGAACACTTCAGGGATCAGTTCAACTGGCCTTCAACCACACTTCGGTTTCCCACGATCTCCAGTCAACCTGAATGGCAAGTTAATGTAGGTCCTCCGTCTCTTTACGAAGTTGAAAAAGCCATAGGAAATCTGAAACGAGGGAGAGCAGCAGGCCCTGACAGGTTTACTCCTGAGATTTTTAAGGATGGTGGTCCAGTATTAGCAGTGAGATTAATTGAGGTCTGAGGTAGAATTTGGGAACTGGACGTAATCCCATCTGACTGGTCTCAATCACTGATTGTGCCAGTCTATAAGAAAGGACAAAAGTCCTCTTGTGACAATCACAGAGGAATCAGTTTGACTAATATAGTGTCTAAAATATTAGCTTCAATAATACTTCGACGCCTAACAAAGCTCGTGAAGAGCAGATTAGAGAAAACCAGGCCGGTTTTCGACCTGGACGTGGTTGTATAGATCAGATATTCACACTACGTCAGGTTCTAGAACACAGACACACATTCAGACACCCCACAATGGTAGTATTTCTCGACCTTAAGGCGGCATTTGACTCTGTTGATCGTGAGGTTCTATGGCAGTGTTTGTCACTGAAAGGAGTACCAAAGAAGTACATTAACCTTATAAAGGCTCTCTACTCGAACACAACTGGTAGAGTAAGAGCTTATGACGAACTGTCATCAGAATTGATTACCTCAAGTGGTGTTCGTCAGGGCTGTCCACTCTCTCCATTCTTGTTCAACTTTGTCGTCGACGTACTTTTAGAGATAACACTTTCCTCGTCTAGATTTCCAGGGGTTGAACTTCTACCGGGAGGTTCACTTGTTGACTTAGAATATGCTGATGACATAGTTTTATTTGGCGAAGACGCTGACAAAATGCAGAGTCTTCTGACCACTCTAAGCAACAATGCAGGAATGTTCGGCATGCGATTCTCTCCCTCGAAATGCAAAATGTTGCTTCAGGATTGGGTTACATCGACACCCGAACTAGTGATAGGGAGTGAAGTAGTTGAGTGTGTCGACCGCTTCACTTATCTTGGAAGTCTCATTAGCCCTTGTGGTCTGGTGTGTGACGAAATCTCAGCACGGATACAGAAGGCTCGACTAGCTTTTACCAACTTGCGTCATTTATGGCGTAGGCGAGATATCCGTCTATCAACCAAAGGACGGGTTTACTGCGCAGCAGTCCGTTCCGTCCTACTTTATGGCAGTGAAACATGGCCGGTAAGAGTAGAGGATATTCGTAGGTTACTAGTATTTGATCATAGGTGTCTTCGAAATATCGCTCGTATATCGTGGGACCATCGAGTAAGTAATGCAGTTGTTAGGAAACGGGTACTAGGTAAGGATGGCAAATCAATTGATGAAGTAGTGAAAGTTCATCAGTTGAGATGGCTTGGACACGTGTTACGTATGCCCAACGACCGACTGCCTCGACGTGCTATGTTCAGTGGTATAGGAGTAGGCTGGAAGAAAGCTAGGGGCGGCCAAACCAAAACATGGCACAAGTCCATGAAGTCACTGACAAGTGAACTGAGTCATGTTGGTAGGTGTAGACTACCTGGTTGGGGCGCGCGAGATGATAGCAACCGATGGTTAGAGACCCTGAATGACATGGCTCAAAATCGTTTGCAATGGCGCAGGTGCATCCACTCTCTGTGTTCTCCCAAATTTTAATCTTCTGAATCCTTCATATCCCTTTTTTCCTCTTTCCAAATTTATTTCACTGGATTATACTGTTTAAATAACATCTCCAAACCCTAATCTTCCCGATTACTGCTTATACTCTTATTACCTCTACTACTACGGGATTTGAATCGACCACTGCATCTCTGTGCTAATGTGGTGTGGCAACTCGAACTGATGTACGTACGTACGAAGTTCTACGTTGTTACTGACTGACTGACTGATGAACAGCTGGGAAGTAACAACTACCCGTATACCCTTGTCAGCGCCTGAGATCATCTTGTTCACGACAAAACCCCTCACTCAACTCGTAATAATTCTTCCATCCCTACAATCAATCTTTCTGGCATATCATCACGTCCCACCAATGCTAATGATTTGTGCTTGAGAAGTGTTATTTCTGGTTTCCTGAAACTACTCTCTAAACTACATATTATAGCTTTTAATGTTCGAAATTTGTGTCGAATAAAACAACAGACTTTCTTAGCTAGGACTCTACAATTTCACGCTATCAATGTAGGCTGTGTCTCCGAAACGCACATATAGGATCCAAGTACAGCCATTCATATGACCTCACCACGTCAAATATAAATAACCAGCACAAATTACACTTCGAGTATCTGGAAACCCCACTGTCACTTCTCTTGACCTCGCTGGTGTACGTAGAGCATTAAGTTCAAAAGCAGAAGTGTCCGTTAGGCTGGATTCCAATAAACAGTCATCTGTGAGGGACAATAAGAAATCGAAAAATAGCACACACTGTTGCATATTTTTTGTCTCTGCCTACGCTCCCGATGATTGCAGTTCGGATAAAGTCAAAGATGAATTTTTTAGGAAGCTATCCAACCTCTTTCAAAAAGCTGAAGGCTATGATATAGTAATGGTGCGAGGTGATTTTAATGCTCAAGTAGGCAAACTAAAGCAAACCGAAAGGCGCTTGTGAGAATCCTACGGCTTAGTGAACAGACAATGGGGACTGTCTATTTCAAGCAGGCACCAACTTTAGGCATAAGGTAGGACATCATCTGAAGTTGCGACTCCCATAATCGACTCAACGATGGACCATCGTTGGAGAGGTTCGATAAAAGACTGGCACTTATTCTGGAGGAAATGTTTAGACTCGAATCATACTTTCGTACGAGTACTTATACGTCTGTGTCTTACTGAACATAAAAAACCACAGCAAGAAAAGTCAACGAAAAAGTCAAGAATGTATTTTCGACGTCCAGCATAATGTCTCACATTTGCAGGCAATTCGACCACATCCTAGGACAGCTTCGCCATGTTATTATCTTTGATAATCTGTGAAACTAAATTCAGGCTCATACTAAACTTACTCGCCCTAAATTGCATCGTTATTAGGTGTCGAAGCACTGGTTGATGGAAACGACACTACTTTGGTTAGGCTTATTTATACACATTTGAATCGATAACATACTCGATAACTGGGGAGGTGGGAGTTTCGTGGTTTAAATTCGGGATATTTTGCCCAGCTGTATCCATCTTGCATTTCTGCGAAACCCAAGTCGACAGAATCATCTAGGTGATCTGACTTTCGTTCCAATATTCTCTGCCAACAATGATAGGTAATGACGCCCAACCCGTCTTAGTTTATCGTTCTGGAGTATTTATTCCAGTCTGGGACAAAGGTAATGATTTGATGCATTGTTGCGTATATTTACACCGATCTCTCAAAAAGACATTTCCCTGAAGTTCGCCTTTGTTTCCCTTTTATTATTTGCGTTGTAGGCGGATCCTACCAACAATGCGGACCTTAAGGGTTGAATGGACGAAGTATGGGTGATATGAAGAAACGAAACCTATCGACCTTTGTTCGTGCTACCATCCCCCTAATTTTAAGTAGAAACCACGTAGCCACTAGTTTTCTGACTCTAGTAACTGTCACCTATTGCTGAGTAGATTTAGGTTTTAACAGTAATGCAACATACTATTGAATCAAGCATTATACTACGAGTAAGGATGAAAGACTGGGTTCACTAAAGTATTAGTTAATCAGTAACTGGGAGTGTCATTTGAATAACATTAGAAATTTGCACTAAGGAGAGCTTCAAATTTTCTGATGTAATGACATGACTGACCTTCAGAATTTAGTGTCCTTATGAGTACATCGTTGCAGCTTACAACAGACCAATACATGGCTATTCTATCTTAATTCCTATATCGAGAGAAATGACTCAAAGTGTTACAGAAAAGATAGCACAAATATACATAGATAAGCACACACTGTACACTGACAAATCAAATTAGTGATGTAAAGACTTGATGAAAACTCAGTTCAGTATAAAAAAA